ATATATATATATATATATATATATATATATATATATATATATATATATATATATATATATATGATATAATTTCATTAAATTTTCATTATTTAATGCTTTAGGCCCAAAGCCCAGCCTGGCCCATGATGACCCCTACCATCTTTTTAATTTTTCCACTCATCTATCTCAGCATATGCATTTTTGTCACACTCATTTTTTTGGACAAGTTGTTACTTGACTACTGAAAACTATTCTCCACACAGCATTGCTGGTCTTTCAACTGTTTTATAGAATTTTCCTTTTAACATGAGTGGTATTCACCTATTCACATAAGACTCTAGATACATTCCTCCATTTTGGCCATCCTGATCTAATTCTATGGGTGACATACTCAATCTCTTCCTTGTATTGTATTGTTAAACCAAAGTAATGAAGAAGGTCACATTAGGTTATTATTATTATTAAATTTACATAACCTATATTTTGTTTTGCCCTAGTTATTTTAAGATCTCTTGTTTCTAAGCAAGGTTTAAATGTTGATGTCAGTCATCCAAATATAAGAAACATGTCGGAAATGTTAGAAATATCATATGGAAGTATTGTAAAAGTTATGACAATTAGGTTTCAGTGGGTGGATAGATCGGCTAATGCCTTGGCTGATTATCTTGCTAAACAAGGGGCTACTCAGGTTACTTTGTATTGGGCTTCCTTGTAATTTTCTTTGTCCTTTGTTCTGTTTATTCAACTAAAGGGTTGATGGAATCCTCCATCTCCCCTTCTTAAAGGGGAGGTAACATCTCATGCCTCTCCCTGAATTGTACTCTCTTCTTTGGTTATGATTTAATAAATCTTACTATTCAATGATAAAAAAAAAATATTGTAAAAGTTATAGACATGGTGGAAACATTGTAAAATATACAAAATATAGAATTATATTTTATGAAATGATAAAAGAAGCATACGAACACCTCTTTAAATTGTTTTCTTGTTCCAAATTATTAAACAAGGCTAAGAAACTAAGGTTACAGACAAAAGAATATGTTCTGAAGCTGCCCTGTAAACCTTAAGATTCAGAGCTTCATGACAGAATGAGTTAAAGCAAAATTTTATCTCATAGAAAATGTAAATGGTTGTAATAGATCAACCAGATAATCTATTACACACAAAAAAAAAAACTAATATTTAACTTCATGTTTGAAATGAATATTGAGCTAGCTCCAAGTGGTAATCATGTAAGTTAGGCAGACAGTGACATTGTTACTTCACATATCTACAATATTGTCACCAACTTATGTTATAATACCATCTCTTAGACTCCACATAGTACTAGTAGTGTTCACTGGGGAATATGTTGATTCTAGTAAAATTTAATGTTGCTACCCATGGAAGTGGACATGGAAATATGTTGTGGAAACTATCTCTTGTACTCCACATAGTGCTGGTAGTGTTCATTGTGGAAATGTCGATTCCAGTAAAATTTCATGTCACTGCCCATGGAAATATTAGGGAAATTGGGGACATTTTAAACCATCTAAGATATTTGTCCATAAATTTAATTTTACATTTAATTATTTATTAATTTCATCAATTAAGTTAGAAGTCTTAATTCTTAAATATAAAGCTTGTCCAAGAGGAGTTACTGATGTGGCACATGTTTTGGGGTTGAAAGTTTCCCGAGTGGAGTCCTGTCCAGTGCAAGGAACATGTGGGGTCCTTTTGGGCTTCAAACTAGAGCTAAATGACATGACTAGCAGACATGCTCTCATGCACATATACTACATAGATACATACATAGACTTGGCCTTAGTTTGAACTCAAGGTCAACTTCCTATCTGAACTAAATTGCAGGCCAATTCTTGTCCCAATTCTGGCCCTAGTTTCTGACATAATGGTTCTTTGGCAAGGCTGGGTCTTTAATTAAATTTCTCTTATAAGTATTGAAGGATTTTTTAATGCAACACAGTTTGTACTATGGCTTCTTTTTAAATTAGTATTGAAATCTGCTAACTTTTCAGTCCAATGTCTAAATAAATAGCAATACAAATCTTAATTTAAATTTGTTTTTTCATATTAAACTTAATTTATGTGATCATTTTTTGGTGATATTAATTATGTGATCCTTGAATTATTTATGCTTTTTTCTTCTTGTTAAAAGTGTAGGTATGGTGGTGTGGTGGTGTTTGTTTCACTTAATTTTAAGTTATGTTAAGTTCTGTACCACAGGCCTAGCAGTCATATGTTTGTTTATGTTCTATTTTGTATAGATCCGTCCCAACTTACATGGGGCAGACTGGCAGATTAGACACTCTACACATAACCCCTATTTGTAGTGGCTGACTGGGAGACGGAGACTAACTTTTTCTTCCCATAGGATCATATTCAAACTCTGTTCTTCTGCTGCACACACTTCAAGACCACCATATTCTGATTTCAGAATACTTCTAAAACACAGTACTTCTCTTCTACATGAATATTTGACTCCACTATGGTTTGACTCTTTTTCCCAAAAAAGAAAAGGTTTTCTGTGGTTCCAGTTTATATTTTAATAAAATGCATTGCTTTAGTTAGACATTTTCTGAATCATTTGGAGAACCTTTCTAAATCAAAATTCTTAATTATGCAGCTTCATGTGTTTGTACATATGTCCATTAGGAAGAAATGTGACTTATGTTCATTAAGTGGTTCTTTCTGGTTCATGGATTTGCTTGGCTTCATCATATGCTAATTTAAAATGGCATACTTGGCTTACTTAGAATAGGTCCTTTTTTCTTTTTCCTGTTCTTTTTAGAAGGAAAATGTAGGTAAGCTTTTAGTATTTGACTTTCATGTTCGTTTTCCAGGAATTAGCTATGGAGATTTCAAGTCTAGAGAGGCAAAGAGATGAACTTGAAGCTGAATTGAAAAGGGTATCTCTCTTTGATCTTTTCCCTGCATATGTACAAGACCATAACCTAAACTTCTGGATGACAGATGTCGGATAAATTTTCAGCTTTGATGATTGCTCAATTCTGTACTAGTAACTGGTGAATTGTTGTTGACCCTTGTGTTATTTCATTTCAAATATGATGCCTGTTTACAAGATCCTCAACAATCCCAGAAGTATGAATACATCTACACTCATGACACAGTTAAGCCTAAGCAGTGATTCCTGAACTTTTCCAGCATTTGGAATACATTTAAGCTTATGGCAGTTTTATACCTTCCATGCAGTTGCTGTTAACAATCCTGCACTCAGCACTGCAATCAATCTCCATGGTATAGATTTATATCAATAGTCTAAAGGCTTGTAGAATCCCATTATTTCCCTTTTTTCTGTAACAGAAACCTATACTAAGAAGAAGAGCAAAATACAACCATCTGGCTTAAGGGAAGGGAAAAACAAAAAGAAAAAAAAAGCCTTGCCAAGTTAAGCTGTGACAAAACAAAATCACATGTGAGAAGCTCATATTCCAGGAAAAGTACTCCAAATGGCACCATGCCCTCCCAATCCTGCCCCTGGCCAGAGAATCTGATAGCTTGTTGGCTGATATCTAGATCCATCTAAACAGAAATTATGAAAAAATCTAGCCCATAGTTTTCAAGGCGACTAGGCGAGGCTAGGTGACCATGGGGCGCCCAAGCACCTAGGTGCCTAGGCGGGCGCCTAGGAGATGGAATCTGTAATATATTAATTTATAGATTTCTATACTTCCTAAAGGACCCAATCAGCCAAAATAAAAGAAAAAAAAATAAAAAACAAAACTGATAAAAAATCAGCCATATAATCAGCCAAAATAAAAAAATGAAAAACAAAACTGATAAAAAATCAGCCATTTCAAATTTTCAAAATAAAGCATTTCAAACATTTTAAACATATATCAGATTTTCAATTCAGCAATCAGCATACAATGATACAATCAAAATAAAACATTTCAAAAAAATAAAAAAATAAAAGAATGGACTCAAGGACTCAAGGGGCTGATGACTGTTGGACACTTGGACAGTTGGATTCATGGCCTCATGGGGTGGAATGGAATTTTATATCAAGTCTGGAGATTGAAGGGGGTTACAATTTCCACCCAAAGAGAAATAGCAGGGGCTTTTGCAAATCACTTTAGGTCTATCTTTAGAAAACCCCTAAATAGTAGGGTGTGGATTGAGGGTATGGAATGGCCAACTTTGTAGATAGAGGATAGGGAATGGTTGGAAAGGAAATTTGAAGTGGAAGAGATAAGGGAGGCAGTGTTCTCTATGGATAGATCAAAGGCACTAGGCCCAAATGGTTTTACGATGGCTTTTTATCAAGATTGTTGGGAGATATTAAAAGATCTGTGGTCTGTTTGATGAATTCCATTCTAGAGGGGTGATCAACCTAGGGCTGAACTCCACTTTCATTGCATTGGTTCCTAAGAAGAGGAATGCAAGTCACCCGAAGGATTTCAGGCCGATCAGCCTAGTTAACAACCTCTATAAGATCATCACTAAGGTGCTGTCCATCAGAATAAGGAAAGTGCTCCCAACAATTATAGCAGATAATCAACGAGCTTTTGTGAAGAGGATATAAATCCAATTGTAAATTGGATTTGGAAAAGGCTTATGATTTGGTGGATTGGTCTTTCTTGATGGAGGTGATGATCGATTTTGGTTTCGGAGATAAATGGTGCAAATGGGTCTTGGGTTGTATCAGGAACTGCCATTACTCCATATTGGTAATGGGACAGTGGTAGATTTCTTTCCAGCCTTGAGAGGGATTAGACAAGGAGACCTCCTTTCCCTCTTTTTATTTACATTGGTAGCTGAAGTTCTGGGGAGACTAATTTATAGAGCAGATTCTAGGAGCTTAATAAGAGGTTGGAGAGTTGGGAGGGAGCATGTGCCACTCACACATTTGCAATTTGCAAATGACACCATACTCTTTTGTGAAGCAGGGGACCTTGACAGGATTAGAAACCTGAAGCTCACTATATGACTTTTTGAGCAAATGTCAAACCTTAAGGTGAATTTTGAGAAGAGTTGTATAGTTGGGGTAAATATGGGCGAGGGGGAGATTTCTAAGTCTGCAGACATCTTAGAATGTGCAATAGAAAATTGTCCCTTAAATTACCTCAGTTTGCCACTAGGTGATAACCCTCAGAAAGGTGAGTTTTGGGTTCCGGTTGTGGAGAGGTTTGAAAAGAAACTAGCAACTTGGAAGAAAAATTATTTGTCTCTTGGAGGGAGAACCACTCTAATCAGGTATACTTTAGGTAACCTTCATGTCTACTTGTCAATCTTCAAGATTCCGACAAAGGTGGCTAGTAGATGAGAGAAACTAACGAGAGACTTTCTTTGGGAGTCGGGGGAGGAGAAGAAGGATCATAGGGTGAGGTGGGAGATGGTTTGTAGGAGTAAGAGGAAGGGAGGTTTGGGTATTGGGAACATAAGGAATAGGAACTTGGCTCTACTTGGGAAATGGCTTTGGAGATCCTCATTAGAGAAGGACAAACTTTTGGTGAAGATAGTGGGCAATATTCATGGGGTTGCAGCCAATGGATGGGACTCTGTAATTCTGGCAAGGAGTACAAGAGCATCTCCTTGGAAAGCTATTCAAGCTATTCTACCTTTGTTTTCTCCATGGATCAGGTATGACTTGCACTCAGGCAATTCATTAATTTTTGGGAACATGTTTGGATTGGGGACTCCTCCCTAAAAGACCAATTCTCAAGCCTTTTTGCCCTTTCCACTTTTAAAAATGAACCGGTTTCTTCATTCCTTGTTCCTTCTAATTCTATTTCTGGGGTCGGTTGGAACTTGGGCCTGAGAAGAGATATTAGGGACACAGAGCTTGATGGTATCTCATCACTGTTATCCATTCTTGAAGGGGTTTTCCTAGAGCCAACAAAGGCAGACAGTAGAATTTGGACACCCACCCCCTCTAATTCCTTCACTTGTGCCTCTTTCTTTAGAGCTCTCACACAATCTTCTTCCTCTGGCTTGTCTTTCCCTATTAAATAGGTGTGGTGTCATCCTATACCTCCTAAGGCTGGGAGTTCTGTTGGGAAGCCTTTCTGGAAAGAGTTAATACAACAGATTTACTTCAAAGAAAAAGACCCAATAGTTGTTTTTGTCCTCACTGGTGTGTCCTCTATAAAGCTGATGGTGAGTCTGTATATCATTTACTGATCTCCTGTCGGTTCACTAACGTCATTTGGGAATGGTGTACTTCTTTGTTTGGGTGCAGGTGGACCCCCCCTTCAAATGTGCAAAGCTTATTCACATCTATGCCGATTCAGCCAACAAAAAGGGCCAAGTTTATGTGGAGGTGTATTAGGGCTGCAGTCTATTGGACTATTTGGGAGGAGAGAAATTCATGGATATTTACAGATAAGGAGAGAAGTTTGGAAGCAATACTGGAGGTCATCCATATTAGGGTTATACACTGGCTGAAAACCTTGGCTCTGTTTGCAGAATTCTCAGTCGATGAGTTGCAAAGAAAGTGGAAGGAGATAGCAGAACTTGCTCCAATGAGGAAGGCCTCAAATGCTTGTTGGATTCCCCCACCCCATGCCTTTACTAAACTGAATTTTGATGGCAGCAGCATGGGTAATCCAGGGCCATCCGGAATAGGGGGAGTAATAAGAGATGAACAAGGGAATCTGTTAGCTATGTATTCTGGACCAGTAGGGGTGGGAGATTCTTTGAGAGCTGAGATATTTGCAGCTCTTGAAGGGGTACAAAGAATCAAGGGTATGCATATTAACAAGCTGATCATAGAAGGAGATTCTAAAGTGGTGGTAAACTGGCTGAAAGAGGATAGTTTTAAAATTTGGAATTACAGTAATGAAAAGAGTAAATTTAAGTGGCTGACTAAGGACATGGAAATCCAATACAAATGGGTAAAAAGAAGTGTGAACTCTTTGGCAAATGGTCTAGCTAGACAAGGGGTGAACAGAAATTCTATATTTTGGGCTGTTTTTGATGTTTAATGGTTGTTCTTGGGAGCTAAGATTGTTAAGCCCCCTTGCCCTGTAACTTTTTCATATTATTAATAGTAATACAATCCACAATTATTGATCAAAAGAAGAAGAAGAAGAAGAAGAAGAAGAAGAAGAAGAAGAAGAAGAATAGTGGAGAGAGGACTGACTACTGAGAGGAGCATAGGGGCGGAGCCCCTGTTTTTTCGGAAAAAAGAAAAGAAAAAAGAAAAGGAGGTTTGGTGGAACCCCAGTTTTTTCAACTGAAATTTGAAGAAGAAGAAGAGGTTTGACGCCTGGTCTGCGGGGTGTGGACGTATTTTTGAAAAAAAAAAGGAGAAAATGTTGAAGAAGAAGAAGAAGAAGAAAACTGAAGAAAAAAACTTACCTGCCGCTGCCGGAGGTGAGGTGTGATGGAGTTGGGCTGGGGCTTGAGCTCGAACTGGTGTTCGGTTCTCCTCCCTCTCCAATCGAAAGAAAACTCTTTGATTGAGTCTTTAATGTAACTTGTCTTAATACTAGATGATACCATGTAGCAGATTGTATTTTAAAACAATACAACGATCAATAAAATTTCAAAACAATTATTAAATAAAAAAATAGTTTTATTATATATATAAATAGGCGCCCGCCTAAGTCTCTGGGCGGGCGCCTAGTATGTAAAACCTGGGGCGTTTGGGCGAGGCGACCATGAAAAAGCGCCTAGTCGCCTAGACAACTATGACCTAGCCTTCTCTAAAAAATTATGAAAAGCCCATGGAACATTTGGAGGCCACTTCATCCAAGCAATAAACCAGCTGAGCATTGCTCAACACATCTACTCTGCCAAAATCCAAATAAAACATCAACTTGAGTCGTTGGAAGAATGCATGAAACACATCTTTATTAACTGTAGGACCATAATTTTCATCCTTGGGTTCCTGAATCCCCCACCTAGTCACCAGCACTCAAATGTCCTGGTTTCCTAAGAAATCAAAATTTGGCTTGATAGCTCCTCTGAAAGAAAAAAGAAGAAACTAGGGTAGGAGAGTATGGTGACAAATCCTGTGCTACTGTATCTATGGTGTGATAGGCTGCCCCCAATCTGCCAATCTCTTTGTCATCAATGTGGAAGTCACAGACCTCCTCTCTAGTCAATGGTACTCATGTGAGCTACATTGATGGTAACCAAGTCACTTTTGAGGTTTGATTTGTGTTTGTGAAGATTTGGCAATATTCTCCTCCTAAATGCTTTGTAGTATCACAACCTCATGTTTATGTTGCCACATAATTTTCCTTCTCTTTGTAAAAGCGAATAGGAAATTAGAATCAAAGAGGTGCGTACCTCAACAAATGGTAAAAAAGGGGAAATGAAATGTCCCCAGAGAACTGCAGAAAATTTACAGTCAATAACGAATTGGTGGATTTTCTCTCTAATAGCCTTTGATATGGTACACATATGAGATGAAAGTTTCCATGTTTTATTTTTATGTATCACTTCATAGTTTAACACCTGGTTTTTGGAGTTGGACCCCAGCAGACAGCTTTAACCACTTAATAGGTGCCGATTTGTGCATATATAAATCCTTGAAGACGGCGGATCAAGACAAGGCATCAAGTGAACCAGAATAAATGCCTAACTCAACCATCTGCACCAGAGGACTACAAAGTAAACCAGATTGTAACTCTAACATGGAATTTACATCAAGAGTTCCAAGAGTTGTGAGCAAGGAAAACAGAAGGAAAAGAGAAAATGGGACAGGATTTGAAGTCTGAGATTTGGTAGAAACTGGGAAACCAAGAGTGGAGGGCACAGTACTCACCACATAAATCTAATATTCTAACTTCGGAAGAACCATATTTATCCCTTTTATAACTACCTTCCCTACCTACGTTATCCTGTAGATGATCCTGTATTCTTGGCTTCTCTATTTCACTAAATGGATGTACATGCTTTTTCTATTCCAACAAATGCTGCAACTTGTTTGCAAATAATCACATGCTAGCATAGATTCGATACGTTACCCCTAAAATATCTATGTATAACCTGAATTTTGGTCTCTGATGTTCTTAAGAAGGTTACACTATTCCAAAATGGTTTTTCGGAATTTCAAAGTTCTGTAATTAGAAGTTGAATGCATTTCAATGATCAATGTCCACACTCCATGCAGGCATGCATTATATATTTCATATTTATTTATTGCATTATGAGTTTGCTTTTTGTCATTTTTCAAGTTCATAATTGTACTCTACTTCTGAATGTTCCTTTTAGAGATTATTAGAATGAACCGATGTTTTTTTTTTTGATTAATAACACATTTCATTAATTAATCATAGAAATAATTACAAAGGGGAAGATAAACTTTCTTATCTTCCAGCTGAGTCTTGAGCTCCCAAGAAAGGATAAAAAGGACTACACCTGAGCCCAAAGCATAGACTCCCTCTCCACCCCTTGTTTAGCTAACCCATCAGCAAAAGAGTTAGCTGATCTTTTCACGCAACTGATCTTGACTTCCATCTCTTGAACCGGCCACCTAAATTTCCTCCTCTCATTGCTGTACTTCCATAACCCACTGTTGTCTTTATTCAGCCACTCTACCACCACCTCCGACTCCCCTTCAATTATAAGTTTTCTTATATTCATCTCCTTAGCTCTCTGGACTCCTTCCATAACTGCATAGATCTCGGCTCTGAGAGAGTTACCCACTCCAATTGGGCCTGAGAACAGGGCTGAAACAATCCCATTCTCATCCCTAAACACACCCTCAATCCCCGAGTGCCCAGGATTCCCTCTTACTCCCATCGAAGTTTAGTTTTAAGAAACCAGCTGGTGGAGGGGTCCAAGACACTCATTACTGTTTTGGTCTGGGTGCAACTAGCAATCTCACCCCACTTCCTCAACATTACATCCATTGTGTAATTTGTGAACAGCTCTGAGGATTTCAGCCACTGTACAATCCTTATATGGATCATTTCTTTCAATTCTTCAGCACCTCTCTCTACTTCAGAGAAGATCCTGGAGTTTCTTTCTTCCCATAAAGACCAGTATACCGCAGCCCTCGGGCATCTCCACATGGTCCTACCCCTTTTTCATACGCCATCTAAAGAAAAAAAGGGAAAAAAGACTTCGCAAGTTTGATGGAGGGTTCCAAATACACCCAATAGGTGAAAACCAGTCTCCCCATCAGCTTTACAAAGAACACACCTGTGAGGGGATAAACATGTCTTGGATCTCTTCTTTTGGAGAAGATCACCAGTGTTGATTCTTTCCAAAAAAGCTTCCCAGCAAAAACTACCAACCGATGTTATTTAATATAAAGTTCATGATTATTATAAAATTTTATATTTATTCTTCAATGTACCATATGTTCATGTATCCATTGCACCATTTTGTACTAAATCCCATTTCAAGAGACATCCATAGCCCAGCTCCAATATCGTAACTAATACACAGCAACAGAAGAAATGCATGAAGCTGATTAGGATGGAGGAGAGAGGGTTGTTCTGTAAGTGTCATTCAGACATTGTTAGAAGTATCCCAAGAAAAAGGACAATTTAGGAAATGAAGAGGTGCTTCCAATGCACTGAATAAAGTCATCAACGGTGTCATCTAAAACCAATAACTAAATAAAAACTTGTACATTGTTAACTACTCTGAAAGTACTGATGAGAATTTTACATTTTCTGATTTTCCAGAGGATTTTCTTTCACATAAATCTTTGTGGTTGTTATGTTTAGATCTTCAGTTGTCAGTGCTAACCTTCTCTCAATAAATGGTTCTGGTGACTGCTTATCTTTCCAAAGCATCCATTTAGTACTACAATGAAGGTGCTTCCCAAGGCATTAGTATGCAATAGAGCTGAGCGTTCTCTTCAGAATGTTCATTTGATTGATTGATGCATATTGACTTGCTAGGAAGCACTTCGAAATGATAGCATTCCATTGATATGATATCATTTTCAGCATTTGCAGTGTTTTACTTCAAACAATGTATAAATCAAAAGGCTTATTCATAGTAGTTTCCCCTGGTGGAGACCAAACTGGTTTCCCTGTTTTGATGAACAATGGATTTTTTCTTAATGATTGGGGCAACTATTGTAGGTTAACATCTCCTTGGCTGCTGCTCTTGCACGCCTTCGCAATACCCGGGAAGAGAGGGAGCAGTTTGATGAGGCAAGCAATCAAATTGTTGCACACCTGAAAACAAAGGTATGTAATTGTTACTTACAGTTTCTGTGCTGGTACCAGCAGATTAATCTGTCTGAAATTAATATATTCTAGATCGATATATTTGTCATCATTTATATGCCAATAGATTTTGCTTGCCTAACATTTGTTTAAATTATAGGAAGATGAGCTATCAAGATCCATTGCTTCATGTAGAGTAGAAGGAGATGTTCTTCATACATGGATCAATTTCCTTGAAGATACCTGGGTTCTCCAATCCTCCTTTATAGATCGGAAGGAAAAGCAGACCAGGTATGTATCTCTGTGTTGTATCTGGCTTATGAAATCTTGTGCGCTTGTTGTGTATTTGAAACCTTTGGGGGGGGGGTGAAATCTCTTCTACTCTTTAACGAGTTTTGTATGCCTATATCATGAGTTCTTACCTTGATGCTTGAGTACTTACTTTTCTTACATGTTCAAGTGATGAGTTAGAGAAACATGAGAACTACTTTGTGGAATTGATCACTTGTCACCTCTCTGCTTACAAGGTATTGATTCAATCATCAAAACAATAGATGTATGAACATCCCCACACTTGACCATAAATTCTATAGATGATATTCCTTTCCATCTTGTACAACTCATACAGGAACAGTTGGGTCCTTCTATCAACCGTATCAGGATACTTGTGGAGAATTTGAAAAATCTAAATGAAGGGTAATGCAGTTTTTTTGCATTGAAGAGATTGTTACTTTCACTGTAACAAGTCTTTTACTACTTTCCTTGTTTCACACGACAGGTTAGAGATGGCCTCTGGTTTAGATGCCAATGATTCTAGAGAAAGCCCAAGAAGAAATCTTGAGGAGGAATACCTGAATTGTGAAGCGAAGGTATGGATCTGTCTGCATGTGTTCTCTTTTGGTTCTGCCTACCTTCACATTCAAAATTGTCTTAATTTAGATTTTGTGGAATATCCTGCTTCAGATGGAAGAATTAAATAAAGTTGAATCTTTTTTGCATTCCATTGTTTCTTGTGGTGTGGTTTTAAATTTGATTTTTTTTTTATTAGTAGTGGTCCTTAATTTGATGACAACCAAACTTTTGAAATTTGTTTCTTTCTTTTGAAATATGCTGTGGTTTTGATTAAGAATCAGGTTAGGGATATGTTTGGTTTTATAGAAAATAAGGGAGAAACAGAAAGTTGGGGGAAAGTCTTAACGAATTTCACAAAATTTGTTTAGTAATTTCCCTCAACTTTCCGTTTCTCTGATTTTCTATCAAACTAAACATAGCCTAAGATGATTAAAAGCAATGCATTTTAAGGACACATTGACATCTACTTCCCTTGAGTGCTCTTGTTAATGGCATGCTTCATTTTTTGCAGATTATAACCACCTTTAGTGTAGTGGACAACATGAAAGAACAGTTTTATCCTAAACATGGGAAAGTCTCCAGGTGCGATTGTAGTATTTGTTCCCACTTTGCCCTTGTTACACATGAACTTGTGCATGTAGTTGTCATGTTAGGTATATACCTGATCCCACTGAAAATATGACACAAGGTCACTAATAATGCAGGAAAGATGATCTAGGAGTGAAAGAGCTATTTGATGCTATTGAAAAAATGAGAGAGGAATTTGAATCCATTGAGAGACCAAACCTAGATATTGAGACTCCAACAACCCCTAGTGCAGAGACGCCATCTATCAATATGCAAGAGAAGGTTTCATCTCCTCCCTCCACACAGACCATTGAGTCACTGCTATCTAAGAATGATGAACCTTCGGAACCACCCTCAGCCAAGGAAGAACAGTCATTGGACCCTGAAGCGGAACTGGCAAAGCTGGAGTCAGAATTTGGTAAAGTTAGCAGAGACTACTCAACAGAGGAGATTGGTGACTGGGAGTTTGATGAGCTTGAGAGGGAGTTGATAGGTGACTCGGCAACAAACAAATAGATCAGATCTACCCTTCTGCTCTGAGTCTATAGAAACTTCTGGTATCCGTTAACCATGAACAGCTTTGTTGTATGTAACTATTTAACATCTAGGCGCCACCTAATGAAAAGCCAGATTTTAGCTAGGTTTATATTTTTTAATGTGTGGATCTAGATGAACTTGTATCCATTGGATCGGATGTAAATTTGCAAACTGTGATAACATAACATGGGTTCGTTGAAATAAATGTAATATTCTTGGTTTACATTTATGTTGTCTTTTGGATGCAAGTATTTCTCTGGGTAGAGGTCTAGTTGGAACATAACTAATAACGATCAACATAGCCTCCATTTACGCTTAGGTTGTCAACAAGAAGCCGATTAACTGATGGATACCATTCATCTCTCTGAGTTTCTTAAATCTTGGTTGTTATTTGGGGTGGACGGCCCAGAGTGCCCTCGTGTCCAAACTCTTCCACTCAACCCAACCATCTAAGTACTCTGGCGTTAGCAGAGCTGAAATATGGTGCAGATTGGTTCGACACTTCCACTTTGACGACTAACGCTTCATTACTGATTAGTTCAGGAGTAGAAATTGATTGATTTGCAACGAATCAGTCATGTTCAAGGCCCTAAACTCGGTTAAGAGTTTAAACCTTGGAGGCTGTGTAAGTTAGGAAATAATTATTGTGATGGCATGGCGTGTGCCCATATGCCACTTTGCTCAAAGTGGTGGTGACGAGGAATGAAATATTTGTTTTATATTTTGAAATTATGTGCATTCCAACCACGGTATGGAAGGAGAAGTAAAGAAAGAGAGGTGTGGAGTGAGATTTTTCTGGTTTGAAAAATGGTTTCCTATTTGGGAAGTTGGGAAATTGCTTCAGCTTTTGAAGGGCAACATAATTGTCAAGGGCTCCCATGTTTTCAGCACTAGGGTACAAAGCTTAGTGGTGTTAAAATTCTCCATACCAAATTTCATCAATTGGCAGCTCCGAGTTCCAACAATGAATAATGATGATGACCAAGGGATTAGCTGAAAACCATTTCGCTGTAAAATGCATTATATTTACCACTTCCTCCATTCCATATGTGCCAGGTAAGCCACGAGACCACGGGCACGAGGCATGGGATTCCCCACTTTAGTTCTACTTCTAGAATCCGAGACACTCTAAATTGTCTTTCTTTCTTTCTTTCATTGAGCCAGAGTCGATATCTTTCTGGTTTTCTGGGTTGGTGGGTCAGTTCAGTTCTATGGACGCATTCAGCCTCTAAAACCTTTTTAGTTTCTATGTTCCTATTCCTTTTGTTGGGAGAAACTGTTGGTTCTCTTCATCGTCATCATGTTAGATGCATGATTCATTTACTATAGTGATATTAGCATTTAGTACCATACAAAAGAGTGTGAGTGTGGGCCATTCAATTAAGTTGACCTACTACTCAAGACTGGAGAATAAAACTGGGTGGATGATCTTTCATGGCCATCCATCCTTTTTTGTTATGGCATATGAATGAATATATTATTTCTATTAATAATAATTGGGAACTTACAAGGGTAGGGTAGGTAGCAAAAGGCTCAGGTTCAGGATTCCAGCGGGAGCGGTCACATTGGTTGAGTAAATGGGGTAATCCCTGCCCCACCGTGTTCATCACTCAATACTACTCTCATCGTCATTGGTGCAGAATTCAAGTGCCCTACCCTGCTCATCACTCATTGAACACAGTAGGGATCACAGTTTTTGCTTACTCAGCGTGAGCAGTTCCACTCAATTATCACCCTTCTGGGAAAACTTATGAAGCCGCTTGCCTGCTCTCTGCTTCTCCTGCCTAGTGCCTGCTGCATGTGGAACTTAATTGGTTTTTTTTGGGATTCCATTGGTGACATCTCTGTCACGCCATCACTTTCTTAAGTTTTATCCTTTGGTTGGATAAGATAATTTATCTGATGAATGAATGAATGAACGATGATCCACCGTAAATTTCGCTCTTACCGCTTCAAAATCATCCCCAAGAAAAAAAAAAAAAAAAAAAAAAACGGAAAGGAAACCCTACGAAGAAGAAGACGACGACGAAAATTTGTCCCTCTTAATGTTTTATCGACTTGGCCCAGATATCTGTAGGGTGGCTCAGGATTCAGGAGGCACTGATGCTTTCTCGATCAGAAGTCACAACCCACAAACACGTACCCTCACAAGTCAGGGTCCTACAATTTACAGTAAACAAATAATGGTTTGAGACCATGGGGAGTCAGACTCTGTTGAACAGTCTTTGACAATGGCTTGAGACCTTAATCAGGGTCCTACAATTTACAGTGGTGCTCTTTCCTTCTACATTGCTTAAAATACCAATTGATAGTAGCCAAAGCAAAGCAAACTTATGTTAGTGTCTGTTTAACAACTCTCTCTCTCTCTCTCTCTGTTTTCTGTTGTGACTGAGCATTGTGTTTTATCAACTTATGTAACGAACTATTTTGAGGGAAGAAAAACTACTTCTTTCTTTCTGAATTCTGTGAGGGTATCAAGACTGAGTTTTTAAAAAGGTGCACAAAAACAAGGCCTCGAGCTGCGCATGCATCTCTCCCTTCAATGTAAACCTCCACCATGAAATGTCGGATGGTGTGTTCCTCACTTCTTAGAGAGAGTGATGCCAACAGCAATAATCAATAATATCTAATCTTAACTTAAATATAAATTAAAAGGAAAGGAAAGGAGATAAAAAGATGCCCAAATGCCAAACAACATTTTTATCTCTCTCTTGCCAATCAAGTCAAATGAAGGGGGAAGATCACTACAGACTGTTGAGATAAAAAAAATAAAAATAAAAATAAAGAAAAAGAATAAGAAGACCCAAAGCCAGGAATCCAGTAAAAGTAGTAAAGTACTTCAAGTGTGAAGTGACCCTCTAGCTTCCTAGATTTCATTAAACAATTTTTGTATTATATGAAACATTAAATCAATTACTACTGGTACTGGATAGCAGAGCCCAGAGTCTTAGCCAAAGGTTTTGTATTTAATGGAATACAATAACTGGGGAATGCAGAAAACCAGCTTTTGAGACATGGGCTGCATTCAAATACGTATGTTGCTTGCGTAAGTGGGGATTAATTATTTCAGAAAATATAGAAATAAATCTATTCTTTTTCTTTTATATACTTAAACAGTGCAATGGAAAAAAAAACAAAAACAAAAGTGAAAGCCTTTATAAATTAAATAGAGAAGTATATCTTTTTAATTAATTGTTATACATATTAAAAACATAAAATCGAATTATACCTGAGATATTCCCATATAATACCTTCTTTCTTGTGAGGAGGGTATGGTCCCGTATATTCATTCAATTAAACTTTATAAATTGTTAAAAAAAAAGGCAAATCAGGGAGAGACGAGCCACACAATTTAGTTAGAGGGAGAGAGATGAAGCACATAATTTGGTTAAAAAAACAAATAAAGAAAGTTACGGGTCAGTTGGCCATTATAAGTTTATGAACGTGATTATTTGGAGGCATTCAAAATTCCCAAATCTCTGACAGTGCCTAATCCTTATTTACTTTTCTATTTTCGTTTTTCTACTTTGGCACTTTCTGATCCCCACCTTTAAAGTTGGCTTAGCCCTTCTCCTATCTTGCACAAACACCAGGTTCCATTAAGCTTCTATACACATTGAGAGAGAGAAAGAGAGGGAGAGAGAGATCAGCAGATCAAATAAGATGGCCATGAACTCACCTCCATGCGACCATGCAGATGAAGAATACATAGACATGGAAGTTGGTTCCTCCGCATTCTTCTGCTATTCCGTCAACTCTCCGCCACATCCTAGAGAGTTTGAGTTCCATATGTCTTCATTAACCCCCATTGATAGGGAACCTACAACCTCCCCAGCTGATGAACTCTTCTACAAAGGGAAGCTTCTACCTCTCCACCTTCCTCCGCGTTTACAAATGGTTCAGAAACTCCTCCAGCACTCCAACACCCACTTCGAGGAAAATACAGAAGCCTTGGATGAAAATTACACCACTCCATTCTCCACCACAACCCCTACTCCCACCACTGCCACCCCATTCGAATCCTGCAACATCTCTCCCTCCGAGTCTTGCCGGGTCAGTAGGGAACTGAACCCAGATGAATATTTCGTCGAGTGTTGTACTGATGCAAACGGTTTCATCAGCGACCAACCCAAGAAGTCTTGGTCCAAGAAGCTCAAGCTGATCAAGAGCTCTTCCTTGGGTCTGAAGTTGAAGGCTTCTCGTGCTTATCTTAAGTCTTTGTTCAGTAAATCCGGGTGTTCGGATGAGTCCTCCGCGGAAGCTGCGAGGAATGGAGACGAAGGGACCATTTCGAAAGCCAAGGAGTGTTTAAACAGGTATATCAAGGTGTCAAGGAAAAACCCATTTGGCCAAATCCAAAAGGGGAGGTGCCAAAATGCAGCTACTGTCATGAGGGGCTTTGATAAAGAGAAGATAATTGAGGATGGTAGTGGCGGTGATACTGGCCATAGAAGGTCCTTCTCTGGGGCTATCAAATGGCATTCGACTATCAAGTCCTCTTCTTCTACATCTTCATCTGGTTCTTCTTCTTCATCATCACTTTCGAGTAATTCTAACGGCCATTATGGGGTACAGCTGCTCAAGAGGAGCAGCAGTGCCAATTCAGAGATTGAGAGTTCAATCCAGGGAGCAATTGCTCACTGTAAACAGTCTCAGAAGCTGTTTGGTTCGAGAAATGCGATGAGTGAAGTTGGGTTTTGTTCATTGTCTGCTTCAAGGATTGGAGTTTGTGAGGAACAAGAAAGGCCAGCACTTTGTAGAGGATGATCATTGATCATTAGTTGATAATGAAAAAATAAGTAAAAGAAGAACCCCTATTAGGTGAGGGAAGGAGAAAGGGGATGAATAAGTACATATATTTGATTGATTTAAGACAAATTTCCTGTTATTTTCTTCTTTTTTGATGCTTGGTATGCTCTGATTCAGTGCAAAGTCCTGTGAAACTGAAAGGCTGTCTGTCCTGTACTCTTAGATCAGACCATCCTGTGGCAGTTTGTGTGAACTGTAGAAATACCCTCTAAAAAACTTCCAACTGTAATTGCTTGAATAAAAAAGAACAATCGGAACTCTCCTTCCACTGGTTTTATTAATTTTCTTGGTGAGTGCTCTCTGAATGTAGAGGGGGAAAAAATAAAAATAGATGACTCGCGCGTTTTCTGTTGCATTTTGGACACTATAAAGAAGTTCTGGGTTACGCTGCAATGCAGCATTGTTCCAAATCGGTTAACGTGGTTCAGTTATTCTTTTTTTTTTTTTTCAGTTATTCGATGGCGAGCTTTTGGTAGTCACCCGGAAAAATAGACTTGAAAAATAGTTTATTTTTTCAAGAAAAAAAAAAGAAAAAAGAAAAACATAGAGCTTGCATCAATTGGGATGCTTTTAAATATGACAAATTTGGGTCATTTTAAACCATTGGAAATTTTCCACAACTTGGAAATTTTGGACAGAATATTTTGATAAAATCTAAACATTTTTAACCTTTTACTATATTTTATATTTTAGTTACATTATTTTAATAATATTTTGAAATTACAGGCTAAATAAAAATTTCAATCTAAACAAATCTGCCAAAAATATTCCAATTTCATCATCGAAGTGACTCTGTCTGAAACTGAAAATCTTGCAAAATTTCATGAAAACCATGACTGGGACCATCATGTCAGGGTAGCTTTTGTCTTTCAGCAGGAATGTGCCCAGTTAATAAAAAATGGGATGTATCCAAACAAGTCCCCTTGATTTTTACAGAGAAGAAAAGAGGGAAAAAACAACTTTCACATCCCTTTATATGATACCAAGCTTTCCAGGGAAGTTGACATGATCACAAGTCAGGCAGAGAGAGATACTGCAAAAAGCAACCAAGGAAGGCTTTTATCAAAGATAGTCTTGCAGCTCTACCTCCCTGAAATGGTTTCTTCTATTTGGGTCTTTCAGGCTTTATGCATCCATCCATTTCTAACAAGGGCCCGTGTCTTGCTTTTATGAGTTTATCTTTCCACTTGTTTTCCTCTCTCTCTCTCTCTCTCTCCATGGCTCGATCTTCAGTAAAGAAAAAGAAATAGATTACTGAACCTTCTTTACAAACACACACAGAAGAAAAAGTGTTTAAATAAAAGTTGGATCAGTTCCCATATCCCTCACCAATGAACATGATATCATGAACCATAATACTACAACCCAGCAAAAATGCTTTTACCTTTTATGGTTCCTGTAAACAAAACGTTTAGTGTCCTAATTACAGCATTTATAATGTTACTTGTCTGCCTCTTAAGAGTACAAGTGGGACACTTACATTAATCATGCCACCAAAAAAGGCCATCCATATAAAAATGCAGTATGATTACTTGATTGATAATAAAAAAAAAAAATATGATAGAGGAGGAAATCTTGAGGTGCAAACAAACAGCCTTTCAGGTGCCACCACCCTTCCTTCTTTTTCTCTTTTTTCCTTTATGATTTAAGGAGTGGAGGATAAACCTTAAAAAAAATGAGCATGGCATCCATATATTTGACAGGATTAAAGCCAAAGAAAGCAGCAAAGGGGACCCATTTGAGTTTTGATGTTATTGAGCACTACGGACTAAGGATTATTGTTAATAATAAAGCCATCACAAGCATTTGTTTGTTTATTCCAGAAGCAGAAAGGAGGGCACTCCAATTGGGTCCCTCTTGAAAGTTGAAACCGTGAGTGTGAATCCATCAGAGACACGCGTATGCTTGTATTAGCGATTTGGCATTAATCATTACGTGTGCAAATCCAATGATTTTGTGATTTTGAAACGCCAAGTGCATATGCAGAAGCTATATTATATACTGTACTGAATTGCATCTCCATTTTACTTTTCTTTGTTTGCTGCATTTTTGCATCAATTAGTTTGTCCTTCTGCTGTCCAGGTTCTTAATTCAAGCAATCCGTTGTATCCTTCTCTCAGATTCTTGTACATGGGATGGGATATAATTGCAGATATCCAATTTTACAAGGGTCAAATTGCTCTCCACTCTTCATGGTTTAAGTGTATGAGAGTATCTATTATTCCCAAGAAGAGACATCTTTGCTGTTAATATATATATAGATATAGGAAAGTAGGGAGCTTCCCTACAGGACCACCCCTGATTCTGTCATATGGAGGGATGATGTGGCCAATCTGAGCCATCCACCATGTGGGGGACCCTCTGGGTTGACCAACAGTTCAATCCTCTACTCAAAACCAGCCCTATGCCCCCACTTCTTATTGACAAATTATTGGCCATTTCTTCAATATTTTAATGAATTGACTCATAAACAAGGTTTTTTTTTTTTTTTATTACATGGCAATGGTGTGGTCTCAAATTTTCCCTGCCAAGGATAGCAAGAGGAACTAACCAAGTTTACCACATGGAGGATTCCTTCGTTGTTCAGCCTCCTTTGCTGAGTGACCTGACTAGCAGACCCACTCATCCCTTACGATAAGGCTGTCAATGGATTGAATTTTTGTTCCAATCTAATCCGATTCGAATCAAGTTAACATGGATTTGGACAATCATCAAGTTCATCAGATTGATTTCAATTAAAAAAAAAAAAAGCATTCACCATCATCATCTAGGCTTTGTCCCAACTCCCAACTATATGGGGTCAGCTATTTAAAAAAAAAAAAGTATTATTTGATTGAATAAGATAATCAAACAAGCATCTAATAGATCAAATTACAACAAAGAGAGGGCTTTGGTAGCTGAGGTATGGCGTTTTGTTTGTTATTAAAATAAAATAACAAATACAATTGCAAATGTATAAAACATGCTTCAATTAATTACTCTATTCTAGTAATAATTACCTAACCTAGCATGCTGATGTCACCTTGGTACCGCGATGGGTCCCGATATGAATTACTCCCCCTGCTTTAATAATCATCACCTGGCATACTAATATCAGCATTGGTACTAAGTGACTAACAGAATCCTTGGATTGAATTAGATTCAATGGGATTTGATGGATATCCAAAAGTACTGTAACTAATTGGATTGGATTTTCTAATAACAAGTTTGATTGAATTTAATTGGATCATTTGATTGGAAATCAAGTTCATTGACAGCCCTACCTTTGGAACATGCACAACAAATTGTCCTAATCTGTTGATTCTTCCTGTTTCCTATCACATAAACCGGGATCAATTATATGGATCAGTCAATATTGTTTTGTTACCCTCTATGTAGTTCCACTTCCAGTGAAAATGGAACTAGCTTTTGTACAGATATGCCCCGAGGAAATCCAGGTGCCACAGCAACTATTTAACATTTTGACAAGCTAAGGTTACCGAATCAAAAACAAACCAACCCAATTTGATGTTGGTTTGTCGTCCTCTATGTCAAGTTCCTTCAAGAATTCAATTAGCTTTTGTATGGGTATGCCCTTGTGAAACCCAGATGTCACCACTCAGCAAGCCCAAGGTTACAGAATATTGCTTTCCATAACAAACCCAAACAGATAATTCAAATCTCACCGCTTGAAATGATCATTGAGTAGTCACTATTGTTTGGTGAATAGTTTCTTCAGACATGGTTTTTTCTTGTGTTAATTCGTAGAAAGTTCCCTTAGTTGCAACTGTTTGTCGCTCTTCATGTCCATTACCTTGTAGAATTGTACCAATCCATGCTCCTTAAAACCAACCAATTTGATTGTAGTCTTCCCAAAACAATTATGCAAATTGCATCCCATAATAAACCCAGAAGGATGTTTGTGGAATTGCTTGAACCAATCAGAAAAGGGCGCATGTGGGTTGATGTCAGATATTTCTGGACGAAGACTCCGTAGGGAAATTTGTCATTTTTCTTAGACTTTTTCCAATGCATGTCTTCTAGTATCACGGCCAACCATAAAATGGGTAAAGGAACAGAAAACAAGAAAAACAGGCTTCGCTTATCCGTTCAGCTTTTGCCCTGCTGTTCTATCTCCTTCCGAGTTTATTTCAAATTGATACAAAAGAAAATGCTGCATCACTTTTTTTAATTTTTGTTTGGAAAAGAATGCTGGCATCATGTTAAATCTACCACTCTCCGGACACACCCCCCCCAACAAAGAAAAGTTAAAATGCCATTACTTTTTGTTTTTATTTGTCATCTTTATACACTGGTTTTCCTTGCCCACCATGTGATAACAGTGATTTTTATCCACACAAGAAAGGTGGTCAAAGTTATAACCATTCTTTTTCACTTGTTTCTTTTATAAAACTCTGTCATACAAGCCCAAGAAAACCCAAATCTGCCATAATATTTTTTGCAGTAAGCATCTATGGAAAGGGCAATCTTGGGACCATAACAGTTTACTTCACAAGGATAGTTGGCAGCTTACCGGAGTGCAAAGGACCTTCTCTTCACTCGAAACACATGAAAATTGCAGGACCATTGGGAACCTCAGACTCTATTCACGAACATTTTTTGAAGACTCAACCAGAATTGCAGATTCAATGTTCTATCCTCATTCTTCTCATGTCAACCTACCATGGTTGAAACAGGGAAAAGAATTGGAAATGAACAAGAGAAGAGAAAGGTTACAGCTTTAGCTGCATGGTCAATGTTGGCAATTGATAACTTGTTCGAGTGAAAATTACCTTGTGCTCTTTCAGTTGGCCTACATTCATTGCTACTTGAAGTTACTGCAATCATCTTGAACATAAATAACAAAAATAGAAAAAAGCAATTATAAATCAATCAGGAGGAACTTTGAGGTTTGATTCAAAAAAGACAAGCAAATGCAGCCAAAATATACTAAGGATAAAATTAAACATCTAATTTGAGAGCTTCTAATTAGTCATGAATATCTTGTAACTTACAGAATGACCTGGATCTGAGGCAGGCAGCTGCAATCGGATCATGATCTGTGATCAATGGGTTAAAGTATTGTTAAGAGGTTCATCCTGGAGGGCAAAGGATTTCAACTATGTTAATGTAGAATTCTTTTAATCCATCAAAGTAGATACCTTTGTTTTCTCATTTTCACCAATGTAATCACAGAGTCGTTTATTTCTCATTAGCTCTTTCCCCGCCCACCAAAGTTGGGTAGTATCCTCTTGCATGAGTTTCAAGTCTGGATAATTAAATAGAATGAGATATTTTTGTACATTAATTATATATGTGACATTGTATATATTTACTCAATTGTCATCCTTGAAACATCATCAATTAAATATGAAAAGCCCATTATAGGCATAAAGAAAGTCAATAAGCTTCAAAGAAAAAGAAAAAAAGGAACTAGTAAGCACATGGTATATGTTTTTTTTTTTATTGATAAATTAAGCACATGATATATGCTCAAGAAAAAAGAATTAGGGGCCATTTGATAACAGTTGGATTTGCCGAACTGAATGACTTATTGCTTTTATCTTCTAGTGCCAGTCATGCAATAACATTTTGGTTATAGTAATCAAACCAACATGCCATTCAGACATTAAAGAGCTCACAACCTGCTTAATGACTTCACTAAAAGACAAAGCAATAAGCTATTTGGTACAGCCACTCCACCATTATCAAATGGCTTTTTACTCTCACTACAAGGTGCTAATTAAGGCACCATTGTTAACAACTTAAGGGCCTGAACTAAAAAGTTTATTGCTTTGTCTTTTAGTAAATAAGTTTTTAAGGAGGTTATGGACTCCTTATCAGCTGAAGCTGAATTTATGTTGATTACTATACCCTTGAATATTTTACTATTTGATTATTTTATCCACTAAATGGCAAAGCAATAAGTCATTCAATTCAGCAACTTCAGCTGTTACAAAATGAGTAAACGACCCTAAGTATATAAAACCAATATTTTTTTATTAGTAGTATCTAAAACCAATATTAGTAGGATGTCAATTTCATGAAGCAGAGGTGATGCAGGTAGTGGTTCTGTGCTAGTAGAAAAAGGAAAACTCTGTAGTCCAGAAAAGAAAGGGGCTAGATCATTTTACTTTTATCACATTTTGAACAATAATGACATTAATATAACAAGGAAAATGATGTTTGTCGAAAGGTGGCATTGTCATGGCAAATACCAAGGTTTTAAACATAGCAAAGAGCAAGAATGTCCTCAATGATTGAATTAAATCCACTGTCACAAAAGCAAAGGAGCTTAAACAAGGTGTTTTCTGACACAAAAAGGAAGTAGAGCCTGTTGGTAAGTAGAGGCAGTAATCTTGCTTAAGCCCCTTTTCTCTTTTATCATGAACTGAAAAGATCAAAGTGCTACACAATAACAATATATAAAGAACAACCCCTAGCCAGAAAAGGTTAGCACACTTTACAATATATGATAAATATATGCCTTCACTTTTTTTCTTTTCATTTGACAGGGAGGGATGCTAATTGACCAGGATGAAAACGGCCCGGCCCCCCACTGGTTTACACAATGCAGAGAGCCTGCCTTTCTTCAAGTTTGATGGGAGGGATGCTAATTGACCACCTAGACTACATGGTCATTGGCACATTAGTTATATCTCTTGAATTCAACAAGAAAAGTATACCTCTTAAATAAAATGGCCAACAAAAATTAACAAGACAAACAAACGTTTGAGACAAGCTGATATAAGTACAAATAAAATAAAGGATCATAATTCATAAGTACAAGCTAGTAAAGGCCTTAGATATCAGGTTTTTTTCTGTTCTAAAATAAAATTTAAGGATTCTGTTATTCTTTATATATAACAAAATTTCTATTTAAGAATTCATCAATGTGATACTCAATAATTATGTCAACAATTTCCAATAACTTCCAATTTCCAAAATCCTTTGATCAAGTAAATATCACCCCCCCCCCCCCCCAAAAAAAAAAAAATAAATAAATAAATAAATAAACAAAACAAAATCCAATACCCAATCATGTACAGAGTGTAGGTACATAGTGCTCGCTCGGACCCTCATAAAACATCAAACACTAAGATTAACACCACAAAGTTGTGTGCGAACAACCTACAGTCAATCCCTATGCTACGATGAACCCGCAACACACCATCAACCTTGCGATCACAAGGCATATCGCGAAACTGCGATAAACCCACGGTTCACCAAGCCCAATCGCAAGCCAAACCGAGAGAAACCCAGGCTGAGCCCATGGCGAGGCGCGCGTGGAACCATAGCCACATGGAGCGCATACCATCAAATGACATGGCGTGACGCCACCTAGGGTTAACATGACGCCGCTCGCCAAGTGGTGACGTCATTAAACGCCATGTCAGTTAAAATAAAGTGCACGAAAGGAAGTAGCACACGTGAATAATGAGGGATCTTGGGGAAAAGGAAAGCCGATCCTCGAGAAAATCCTCATGAAACACGTGGCGAAACCCCAGTAGCGCACTTAATAATTGATAGCGGATCCAATATCCCCTTTCCCGATACGGTGCGAATACCCTTATCTCCTACCTTTTAGGATCTCGGGACCTCCCCCATAAATAAAGGTCCTCTTTGAATTGAAAATCATCCAATCCTTGGCATTTGTAACCCAACACTCCCGAGTACTCTCTTTCTCTCTCCAATTCCCCCATTTTCACACCCTTAATCCAGAAAACTCATTCCCTACTCACAGGCCTCTCTCTGTCTTTGAAAGAGACCATTCCCCAACCGCACCTTACCCCACCTACACAGAGCATATATATCTAACATAGGCTTCACATTAAATATTCTTCTATACCTTTTCTTCCAAATACCAAAGCAAAATATGAAGGGGATGATACTAATTTTTACTCCATAACTACCTGAAATTTTTGGCCAATGCTCAAATAGCTCAGTTGCATTCATTGAGATGGAAAAAAACAATTTCCTAAATATACTCAATATTTAGGAAATATTGAGTGTACTCAATATATAACCCTTTCCTGTCGTTCAGAAGCAATTTGCAACTAACTATTCAAGCAACTTCATCTGAATTGGTTTAGTTATTTTCAGCGTTTTAAGACTCGGACTGGAGTCAAAACCGGAATGCTCTCTGGATCCCAGCTTTACCAGTTAACCGGATGGTATGCCTGTCCAACCCGCCAAAACCATCATTTAACTAGGACCCAGAAAGGCCAAAGGTTCCCAAGTTTCACGGTCGAACTGTCTAGTCCGGCCTGAGTCTTAAAACATTACCTACACCAATAATTGTTGATGCATGTAACCATTTGATTTCATAAAGGTGAAAATGTAGTGGGAAAACTCCAATTCAATGCATTCCTATAACATAAAGTATGTATAAATTCATAAACAAAGGGCATTATCTCAAAAAAAGAAGCTTTACATATGACATTAACCGATAGCATAGATAAATTTCCAGAGATTGAAGCCAAGGAGCAGGCATTAGTTGTATTAGAACAAAATTAGCAACAACACCGCTCTATAAATCCAAGAGACAACTCTCATTGAATATGACCATGAAAACCTGCTACATATTAGATTAAATGAGAATAAAAAAAGAGAGAAAGGACGATGTAGGTGGTAGTCTAGAACATTCAATTCCAAACGGCTGTAACAAATTCAAGAATTCTAGAGTCTTCCAGGTGGTAGCACATAGCCATATGTCGAATTTAGTTTCTTTTTTTTTTTTGAGAAAAGGTTTAACTTTATTCGAAAAAAGAGGTACATGAGGAGATGTACACAACTGTTAAGCAGTTAGAAAGTTACATAGGCAGAGAACTATCACTAAAAAGGTCCTGTGAGCACCAGATTTAGCTAGACTATCTGCTTCAGAGTTTAGCTCCCTCGGAATCCAGACCACATGAGCATTTAAAGAAGAGATGATGTCTCTCGCTTCAGCCAGGTAGTGAGCTAAGGCCCAAAGCCCACTGCCAGGATTAGAAATCCAATTAATGGTGTTGGCTGAATCTCCTTTAATGGTAATATTTAGTAAGCCCATGTCTTTTGCAATCCTGATGCCGGTTAGAGCTGCCATGACTTTGGCCTTTGTTGAGGAGGCTATCCCAATCGGCCCACTAAAAGCCCAACTGATAATAGTCATAATACCATTTCTATTTCGGATTACACCTCCAATACCCGCTACACCTGGGTTTCCAAAAGCACTCCCATCAAAGTACAAGGTCGTCTCGCCTTCCACATCAGATCTGAAATTGCGGGGAGTGATGAGTTGTATTTGATTAGAGTGAAGAAAATTTACGGCATTTCTTTGGAGGTCGCCAAAGGTGACACCTTTGAAGTGAGTTAAGCTAGAAGTCCACAAGAAGCATCTGTAACATATTAGAGAAATCAGCTCCTCAAAGCTTTTTGTTCTGTTGGTAAACACCCAGTTGTTTCTCTCTTCCCAAATGCTCCAGAAAATAGCATGTGCAGCAGATTGCCATAAAGTTTTCTCTCTTTTGCTTAATTCTCTTCCTGACCATTGCCCTAAGCATTCAACCACATTTTATGGGAAAACCCAGCTGTATTCAAATAATGATATAAAAAAGTTCCAAAATTTTCTAGTTTCCTCACAGTGAAGCAGGATATGGTTGGTAGATTCCCTAGCTTTAAGGCAGAAACAACAAACATGAGGAGATAGATAAGACCTTCCATGGTTCTTTTTCTGAAGGAGGTCATAAGTGTTGATTTTCTTTAAGCTGGATTCCCACACAAAAAAACAGACCTTCCATGTCTAATTTAGTTTCTCATTGTATATATAAATGTCAAACATTCCTAAATGAAAATACACTTTTCTCTTCTGCCTTTTTCAGTTGTTCCTTTGTTTACATGGTATCAGAGTGTGGGCTCTACGTCCTTGTTCCCATTTTCTCTAAAAGTATCGATCATGGCAATGCAATCGAATTCACGTCTTCCGACTGCTGGAACTGGAACGGAGATAGATCTAGGATTGCTGTTCTATCTTCATCCTTCAGACAATCCTGGTTCAATCCTTGTTTCATCTCCTCTCGCTGGAGAAAATTTCCCGATGTGGCAGAGGGCCATGACGAATGCATTAATGGCAAAAAACAAGTACGTCTTAGTCAACAGTTCTCTTCCACAACCAGCAAAGTCAACATCAGAAGAAAGAAACTGGAATAAATGCAATGCAATGGTGATTTCTTAGTTTGATTAACTCCCTGGCCAAGGAACTACATGAAAGCGTGGGATTTATTGAAACGG